GTTAAAAAACTGTGCTGTACCAAATAATAATTATATGCCGTTAGAAGTTATTTCTAGCCTTCTTTTTAAAAATCAGGACCAGACTATCAGTATAACCTGAATTAAGCTCATTTAAGTTTTTTCTTAGTTTACTACATTGAATGCTATATTCTGGACAATTCATAGAAAAAATGTTCATTATCTTCAGTACGCAGGCACGTAGCATCGTTTTTGAAAGGGAGGGGGGGGGCAGTCAGAGAAATTTTTTTACTTACCTGAAAAAGTTGACAAGCAAAAAAAAAAGGGGGGGGAAGTTGCCCAAAGTCGAAAATCTTCATGTCAACTACTTTTAGTACGAATTCCTATACTATATTTTCCGTATATCACTAATAGTGGGGGGGACCAAACTTTTAATTAATATTTCCTATAGTATAAGTAAGGCTGGGGAAAAAAGTGGGGGGGGGGGCAGGCCCCCTGCCCCCCCCCCCCCCCCCCCCTGCTACGTCCCTGGTACGGTAATTACACTTAGGACAAGATGCATCGGCTATTATATAATGATTTTTAGGTGTGCATTAAGATTACTAGCTTTATTACGTAGTTGACAGTGAAGTACACCCCTGCCCCCCTCCCCCCCCCCTTGCTGCTACGTCCCTGGTACGGTAATTACACTTAGGACAAGATGCATCGGCTATTATATAATGATTTTTAGGTGTGCATTAAGATTACTAGCTTTATTACATAGTTGACAGTGAAGTACACGCTCATTCCTGCTAACTATTTTTAGTTTTGACTTGAAAATTGATAAAAAAGGTGACATTTTCACATCAGAACTAAGATTATTCCACAGTTTTATATTTGAAGGAATAAAACTTTCATAGTATGATACAGTTCTATATAATGGTAAAGATAGATTATTACGATCTGATCTCAAACTATAAGAGTGTTGCACTGGTTGGAAAGCTGTAATAATTCGCTAAGATAATTAGGAGCAATACCACTGAAAATTTTATAAAATAATATTAGTTTATGATTAATTCTTCGCTGATATGAAGGCTCCCAGCCGAGCTCGGCGTATAAAATATAGAGGAATTTACTCTCAGACCAGTAATATTTCTTGCAGCTTCTACATGGACCTTTTCTAACAATTCTGTATTTTCTTGTGAGCAATTTGGTTGATTTTGGCCTAGTGGTTCTTGAGAAGAATGAAGGATATGGAGATAACAAACAGTATTCAATATCAAAGTCCACAAAACAATACAAAATAGGAGCAGTGCAAACGCGGACCTCCATAACATCAGAGGTGGGATCAGGTTCCATGGAGGAGTGAACATCCCCTACCGACCGGTCACACCTGCCGTTTGCCCCTTGTCATAATCGGGAAATAGCATAAAAATCCGTCGTCAATTCAGTGTATAAATAATGGACTAACAATTACTATAAAAAACGTCAGTCAGCATTTAACTCAGTAATAAATTATATTTTCTGAAAAGGTTATTTTATCAACCTTATAACTTACGAAATGTTGACTTTAAACGAGACTGTTGATATTCTTGTTTCATCAACTTGTTTGTCAATAATTTACCTCGTTTTAGAAATTGTTCATACGTAGAGCATGCTCTTGTATATCGAATCGATTGAGATACATGAATTTTGTATGCAGATGATAAAGGTATATTGCTGCATAAGTAAGGAAAGTTGACGATAGAAAAGTTAAAGTCATTACATTTATCATAGAGCTTAGTTGTTAGATTACCATTAACGTCTTCTTCAAGTCAAATATCCAAGTTTGAAACAGATGTGTCAGACTCTGGTATCTTTTATCTCAAGCTCACCAGGATGTATCGTATCGACATAGGAATGGAAATAATCATTGTTAATTGACAATACGTCGTCGATATATCTAAATGTCGAGTTAAAGAAAATGCGAAAAGATGACAACACAGCGACGACGACAACGACAGACAACTGACAAATTTCGATCAGAAAAGCTCACTGGGGCCTTTTGCTAAGGTGCGCTAAAAGTTATTCGTTGTGAAAAAATATTTTATATCTTTATTATTCAATCTTTAATACCATATTTTTGCATAATGCACATAATACATGTTTGCTATTTATTTGTTTGGTATCCAATATGCCAATTAATGCTCCTTATAAGGTTTGTCATTTTTGTATGGGACATTGGGGTCATATTTGATACCCCTTTTCTGTTGAGACTTTTCTAGGTGATCTTCTGTGTGACATTTAAACTAAGGTTACTATTTTTTGACTGCATATTTTTCGCATTTCCTGTTTCATTCCCCTTACAAATTCAAGAAATATGTACGTAAAGGAAATCATTTTTTAAGGTATGTCACTCGTGAAATTTGTTAAATCAAAAATTTACTGAGAAGTATATTTTGGATAAGTACTCATATAGAGTGACTCAAAATCGCAGAGAAAATAGGGGGTCAGAGTTCATTGACCTTTTTGCACTTGAAATTTTCACTCTTTGCTTAATTAATTAAACCTTTATTATATTTTATCAGATGTAACCATGGCAAAAATATTATCATAATTTACGTAAAATATTTTGAATAATATTTCTCATTGAAAAAATCTTGCAAATTAATGCGCGTAAATTATTGTGTGACCTTTTTGCACTAAAAAGTAACATATTTTGGGGTATTAAAAAACTTAATAGGCAATAAAACATTTTCTTTAATCAAACTTTTTACGACTTACGTGCAGATCAGTCACAAGTACTGAGTACTTTAAAATAATGAAAGAAAAAGTTGGGGTCAGTAATGTTAATTTTGAAATATTGGTCAAAATATGTGATTTTCAGGCAAAAAAATGGTGTTAATTTTATAGTGACTTATTTGACATATCTTCATTTTTTGGCAAAGTTTGTTGAAGGAAGGTGTAAAACTTGTTCTAAAAATATAAATTAAGACCTAAATTAAATATTCTTAGCAATATCATAATGGAAAATGTTCTCCGAGTAAAAGTATGTGAGGCTAAAAGTCCAAGATATTAAATTAAATAAATGTGCAGATTTGCAGAATTATCTGCTAAATATCCTTCCACCACAAAAAATAGTCCCTCACAAATTTTGCTTCTTTGTAGCTTTTTGAGCAGTTTTTTTGTTGAATGTTTAAGCATTTACATTGTTGAAAATAAATATGTTATAAAAATTGAATTTTGATAAATAGTTTTGAAGTAAGAGGTTCTGCGTGAACTTTTTCAAAAAGCTGACGAGTGACCTACCTTAACAAGAAACAATGTGTTTGTGCAACACTGATGTCCCCGTATGGCGAAGATTAAACTTTCCTTAAATGCAAACTCACTGGAAATACAATTCTGAAATATGAAAGTAGGCCAAGGTTAAACGGAAATATCCAAGGTCAAAAGATCAAGGTAATTAGTATCCAATGAAAAGTCTTGCCACTAAAAATACATATGTGAAGTATGGAAGCCAAAGCCCTAACCCTTCAAAAGTTATGGTCAAGGTTTGCATTTTAAAAGTAGGTCAAACTCCAAGGTCAAAGGGTCAAAGTTTTTGGTATCTTTTAACAAGGATTACATATGTGAAGCATGAGGGCACTAGCCCTTAGCGTTTAAAAATTATGGCCAAGGTTAAAGTTTTTTCATAAGTACAAAAATCTCCAAGGTCAAGGTCAAAAGGCCAAGGTAATTGGTATCCAATGAAAGGTCTTGTCACAAAGAATACATATGTAAAGAAGCCCTAGTCTTAACCATTCAAAAGTTATGACCGAAGTTAAAAATTTCAAAATTTAGATCAAACGTCAAGGTCAAAGGTCTTGCTATCAAATGAAAGGTCTTGTCACAATAATCAAATATGTAAAGTATGAAAGCACTAGCCCTAGCCCTTTAAAAGTTATGGTCAAGGTTTGATTTTTAAAAGTAGGTAAAACTCCAAGGTCAAGGTTAAAGGGTCAAATTTGGTGGTACCCACAGAAAGGTCTTCTCACAAGGAATACATGTGAAATATGAAAATCATAGCTTCTTGGTATCCAATGAAGGGTCTTCTCTCAAGGACTATATATGTGAAGTATGAAAGCCCTGTCGCTTACTGCTTAAAAGTTATGGTCAAGGTTAAAGTTTTTTCATAAGTACGGAAATCTCCAAGATCAAGTTCAAAGGGTCAAGGTTGTTGGTATCCAATGAAAGGTCTTTTCACAAAGAATACATTTGTGAAGTAAAAATGTCCTTGTACCGGTATCTACTGTTCAAAAGATTTGGCCAAAGTAAAAGTTTGGATTTTTGTGGGTCAAACTCCAAAGTCAAAAGGTTAAATTTACGTGGTACCGGGTGGTACCCAAAGAAAGGTCTTGTCACAAGATGTATACAGAAATATAAAAAACAGGAATAAAGATATGAAATATGAAACTCAAAGCTCCACTAAATCAAATTTTATGGGCAAGGTTAAAGTTTTTACGGACAAACAGACAGAGAGAAAGACAGACTGACAGATGGATTCGACAAAAATTATATACATGTACCCCCCCAAAATTCGTGTACGGTGGCATAAAAATAAACTTTACGTTTTGATACAACACGGACTCCACTCCACCTTTCACCTTTTACTCCAAGCCGTACGATGAAAAGTGCGTCAGTCATGTAGATACTTGTTCAAAAGTTTGTCTTTTAGGGTATCTATGACTAGAGCTATAAAAACATTCCTTGTAATAGGAGCATATATTTTTAACATTACTATTAACCCATTTTAGTCTGCAAGGTGAATGAATGACGTAGCTCTTAATCCGAGATTCCTCTTACTAAAGCCCCTCCTTTTGAGTTTTTATATTGTGACATGTGCCCTGAAAAGCAGAGGTTTGAGTCAGAGGAATCTCGGATTACATAGCTTGCTGCATATTAAAAAAATCAGTCGGTCGGTCGCCAGATGGTCGATTATAAGAAATTAATAGTGTAAATAAAACGCCCATGTATGGCTCAATGAACATGGTGTCCCATTACTCCATATGAAGTTGTGTATGATATAATAGCGTGACAATACTAACCTTGTTTTCCTTCCTCTTTTGTTTAAAAATATGGAACATACTATAAAAGGGCTTGGGGTAAAATGACGGAGTGGAGTTTTTAGCTCACCTGAGCCAAAGGCTCAAGTAAGCTTTTCTGATCACATTTTGTCCGGCGTCCGTCTGTCCGTCTGTCTGTCTGTCTGTCCGTCTGTCTGTCTGTAAACTTTTCACATTTTCGACTTCTTCTCAAGAACCGCTGGGTCTGTTTCAACCAAACTTGCCACAAAGCATCCTTGGGTGAAGGGGATTCAAGTTTGTTCAAATGAAAGGCCACGCCCTCATTCAAGGGGAGATAATTGGGAATTAATGAAAATTTAGTGGTATGTTTTAAAAATCTTCTCAAGAACCACTGTACCAGGAAAGATGAAACTTATTGGGAAACATCCTCAGTTTATAGTGTAGATTCAAATCTGTTCAAATCATGACCCCCGGGGTAAGGCGGGGCCACAATGGCCGACCAAAGTTTTACATAGAAATATATAGGAAAATTCTTTAAAAATCTTCTTCTCAAGAATAGCAGAGCCAGAATTGATCATATTTATATGGAAGCATTCTCAGGTAGTGTAGATTCAAGTGTGTTCAAATCATGACCCCTAGGGGTAGGGTGGGGCCACAATGGCCGACCAAAGTTTTACATAGACATATATAGGAAAATTCTTTAAAAATCTTCTTCTCAAGAATAGCAAAGCCATAATTGATCATATTTATATGGAAGCATCCTCAGGTAGTGTAAATTCAAGTTTGTTCAAATCATGACCCCCGGGGGTAGGGTGGGGCCAAAATGGCTGACCAAAGTTTTACATAGACATATATAGGAAAATTCTTTAAAAATCTTCTTCTCAAGAATACCAAAGCCATAATTGATCATATTTATATGGAAGCATCCTCAGGTGGTGTAGATTTGAATTTGTTCAAATCATAACTCCCGGGGGTAGGGCGGGGCCACAATGGCCGACCAAAGTTTTACATAGAAATATATAGGAAAATTCTTTAAAAATCTTCTTCTCAAAAACAGCAAAGCTAGAATTGATCATATTTATATGGAAGCATCCTCAGGTAGTGTAGATTCAAGTTTGTTCAAATCATGACCCCGGGGGAAGGGCGGGGCCACAATGGCCGACCAAAGTTTTACATAGAAATTTATAGGAAAATTCTTTAAAAATCTTCTTAAGAATAGAAAAGCCAGAATTGATCATATTTATTTGGAAGCATCCTCAAGTGATGTAGATTCAAGTTTGTTCAAATCGTGACCCCGGGGGTAGGGCGGGGCCACAGTGGCCGACCAAAGTTTTACATAGACATATATAGGAAAATTCTTTAAAAATCATTTTTTCAAGAATAGCAGAGCCATGATTGGTCACGGGAATACTTTTGGATTTAAACTTTTCAATAATCAACCAATTTCTAGTTTTTTCCTAGCCATAGTGCTCAGGTGAGTGATGTGGCCCATGGGCCTCTTGTTTCGAGTTGAGAATATTTCACTCATACAGAGACGTCATCATACACCGGTGCAGCCACGTAGCATCGATTTTGAAAGTGGGGGGCCAGCCAGAAATTTTTTTTACTTACTTACCTGATAAAGTTGACAAGCAAAAAAAAAAAGAAAGAAAGAAAAAAAAGGAAAATGTTAAGTTGCTCAAAGTCGAAAATTATATTGGGGGGTGGGGGGTGGGGGGGGGGGGGGGGGGCGTATGTAGTTCAAACTCCAAGGTCAAAGGCTCAAAGTTTTTGGTACCCAATAAAGAGTCTTTTCACAAGCATTACATATGTGAAGTATGATATATCACTAGCCCTTAGCGTTCAAAAGTCATGGTCAAGGTTAAAGTTTTTTTCATAAGTACGAAAATCTCCAAGGTCAAGGCCAAAAGTCCAAAGTAATACGCAGGTTTCGAGATTATCTCCCTTGGTGCGCTCTTTCGTTGAGGAGAGGAGTTTCGTTGCCGCGTAAACAAACAGGTGGGACAGACAAGTAGAGCTTTTTTAAAAAGCTTCCCGTCTTTAGTAACAATTGATACCGTGTATGTTGGATTTTGTATTTCACATCAGCTTTTTACTGGCATCATTGTCGATATACCGGTTTATCATAAAACAAGAAAGGGGAAAAGAATAATAACAAATTGTAAAGCGCAAGCAATAAAAATCAAATTTTATTTATAATGAAGTTAAAGAGATCTTTTTATTTGCTATACAAAAAATCATGTTAAAATAATTACCTGATTTTGTTGTTCGTTTTGTCATTTTTTTTTTAAAGAAAATAAAATTGTTAAGTCATTAGATCGTTTTTAAAGCAAAAAAAAAAAGTGCATAGAAACGAAAAAACTTCAACTATACAATACCATCTTCCAAGGAAGACGGTAATTATTTGATACCGTGTATGTTGGATACATTGCATCATCGATATACCGGTTTATCATAACTACACGACTGTCATACTACAACTTGAAAATAACCGAATTAAAGTAAAGGCATCGTTTTTAAAGCAAAAAAAAAATCGAAACAAAAAAGAAAATATCTCTTTTCGGAATAAATAAATACGGTACACATGCATCTGATCATTACACGTCGGGAATCTAAATGACATATTCTTTTCCTTATCATAACTTAAAAAACACTAACTTTTCAGAAAATGTTCGTACAATCAAGAAAATTTCTTTCGTTTTCAAGTACCCGAAAATTGATAGATTTGTAAATAAATGTATGCATAGTTGAGCTAGATAAAATCATCAAATGCATCATTGGTTAACATTATTATCTTTCTATAACATTTAATAGATTTTAAAAGCCATAAATATCGTTCTGTTATTTATGCACATTTTTATACAGACAACCTGCCCACCTCCATGCAGAAATGGGTACTTTTTGCGCCTCTATCATAGGAGAGTTACAATCTCGAAATTCGCGTATTGGTATCCAATGAAATGTCTTGCAACAAAAAATACAAATGTAAAGTATGGAAGCCCTAGTCCTAACTATTCAGAAGTTATGGCCGGCCAAGGTTAAATTTTTCTAAAAAGCAGGTCAAACTCAAAGATTAAAGGACCCAAGTTTATGGTATCCAAAGAAAGGTCTTGTCACAAGGATTACATATATGAAGAATGAAAGCCCCATCCCTTACCGTTCAAAAGGTATATGACTATGGTTAAAGTTTTTTCATAAGTACGGAAATCTTCAAGGTCAAGGTCAAAATTGTTGGTATTCGACGAAAGGTCCTTCCATAGCCAATACATATGTGAAATATAAACTTCCTGTTATATACTGTTCAAAGGATTTGGCCAAAGTGAAAGTTTGGAATTTTTGTGTAAAAGTGAGTCAAACTCCAAGGTCAAAAGGTTAAATTTGGTGGTACCCAAAGAAAGGTCTTGTCACTAGGAATACACATGTGATGTATGAAAGTCATAGCTCCACTCAATCAAAAGTTATGAGCAAGGTTAAAGTTTTGCAGACAAACAGAAAGACAAAAAGACAAATAGACAGACAGAGAGACAGACAGACAGACGGACGGACATGACAAAAAGTATATACCCCCGAAACGTCGTTTACGGGCGCTTAGAATTACTTGTGTGTTCTGAGGAGCACTGGCTTAGAATGACCAATTTGCTTTACTGAACACTGCCCTCTCATTGGCATTCTTTTGGCCACACCTACCATTAACAGACATTTCCAATAAAATACGTTCCTATAATACAATGTTTTCCCGCTATTCTGCGAAACGCGGGAAAACACCATGACGCGGGACCTGGATTTTTAAGGTCTCATCCGAAGGATCCGCAACTTTTACTTCAAGGTGCATGCCGAGCGCATGGCGAAGGAACAGTCATTACCTATTTTTTTATGGGTCAGTTGTGGCCGAGATTCAAATTCACAACCTTATGAACACGGGGAGAGCGCTTTACCGTCATCTACTACGATCAAAGCGTGGCCGATCGTGACTAAGTGCAGGAGAAACGTAGTGGAATCTTCATAGGCGCAGTATAATCGCGCTAGGGTCTTCGTGATGGAAAGTTCTACGCTCTCGCCACGCTTATTTTGAACATGTTCAAAACAAGTGTAGCGGGATCGTGGCCAAACAGAATCGGGGTAAAGTCGTAAACAGAGCGTAGTGGAAGCGCCATAATTGTACAACAGCGCGGAATCGTTGTGGAGAGATCGTAGTAAAAGCGCAGTAAAGGCGTAGGAACTTATCAAAGAAGCTCCCAATCTCTCACCGGAGGGTGTTTCTTACGCTCCGCTCAAACACCTCTTATCTGTTATCGTCTAAATTACAAAAAATTTGTGAAATGAAAATAAATTATAGATTCCCACCAACTTGGTATTTTTTTAAAAAAAAGGATGAATTAGAAATATCAATCTGTAGCACTTCTTTTGTTCTTTCAAAATTATTTGGATATGTATTAAATTAGCTTCAATATATACGGCCCCATTTTGTTTTGAATTTTTACACACATTTTCATTTTGAAACAAAGGAAACGATTGATTGATTGATTGTATATTGTTTAACGTCCCTCTCGAAATTTTTTCTCTCATTTGGAGACGTCACCGTATGCCGGTGAATGGCTGTAAATTTTGACCTTTACTCGGCACTCGGGACCATTGAGCAGTGAGGGATCTTTATCGTGCCAACCCCTGCCGCTGACACGGGGCCTCGGTTTTTAAGGTCTCATCCAAAGGACCTGCAACTTTATCTTCAAAGTGCCGAGCGCATGGCGAAGGAACAGTAGCTATCCATTTTAACGACTAGGTCAGTCGCGGCCGAGATACGAACTCACGACCTCCCGATCACGGAGCGAGCGCTCTACCGTCTGAGCTACCGTGAACGGTCAAAGGAAACGAAGTTAGAAAATGTTTACTGCTAGTATCAGAGAGCTTAAAGCACGTAACATCATTGGCAAAACATACAAACAATCAATGTGTGAACGGGTGGTTACGTGCAATGTCTCCTTTTCAACCTCATTTTGGGATACCCTAGCAAAATCTCACAAAAACATTACAAGGTGTTATAAATGCCTTACAAGATGACAGT